CGACTGGCAGGGACTGTGCACCCTCTTGGTCTCCACCATCGTCAGAGCTCGCTGCTCTTCCTCGTGTTGATGCTTTGGAGTAGAGCCCAGTGTGAGATCCAGGTCCAAGACCTGGTGATCATCAACGCTCAAACCTGGATGACGATCCTCCTGTAGCTGCTGCTGCCTCGGACGGATCCTGCGAGGGACTGGAGCCACGATCTCAAACTCCCGCTTCACTCCACTTTGCTGCTCGCGATGATCGATGCCAACTTCCAGTGGTCTCTGCGATCTCTCCACGTATCTTCCACTTCCTGGCTGCTGGAGTGGCTTGTGTGATTCCATGGCGTCTACCAGGACCGAGGTTGGCGACCGGGTTCCTGGAGTTTGGTGGTGGTGGTGGCGGTGGAAGAGGGTGGTGGCACCAGCGTTAGCGGCGGCGGCGGCGGTGGCGGCGCCGCTCATGGAGCTTGATCCCGGCTGCTTGAGGGCCTGGAGCGACCCACCTTTGAGGACCGTCTCCACCGCCGCTTGACAAACGTGCCAGCTTCCAGACCAGAGCAATCCCACCGCTCCAAACACCGGATTCACGGTTCTTCCGCAAGCCTCGTACAGCAAAGACTGGAAAAGAGCTGCACGAAAGAAGAACACGAGATGAGAAAGCTAGAAACCAAGGAGAAGATCAAAGCTAGAAACCAAGCAGCTGTGATTCAAGCTAGAAACGAAAGAGAGCTAGAAACCAAGGACCCAAGGGGAACGGTGATTCAAAGCTAGAAACTAGAAACCATGGTGGCGGCGAAGCTTACCTGGCCTTTGATTCTCTGGAACAGCGCTAATGAAGTTCATGAGGCCCGCGCGGCCGAAAAACTTCGCGACGAAGACAGTAGCGTGGCCTTGCGCCTCGGGGCCTTCGATCCACTGCAAGCAAGGCCGGAGAATGCAGCTATCGCTACATCCTTTGCGAAGAACTCGGCATCCATTGCAGCTCATCCTCTCCTCCTCGAATCACTGCCCAAGAACAAAAACAACCAAAAAAACCACACAAAGGATCAGGCCAATGGATCCTCATATATTCTTTCTTATCAACCAAACAAATCGACGAGCCGGAGCTCCCGATGCCCGATCTTTGGAGCTAATCAACCGGTCCATACCTTGTAAGCGAAAGAAATTCCTCCTCTCCAAGCTCCTCCTCTTGCAGCTTCGATTTTCTCAGATAGCGTGCATTCCACGCAAGGATCGGCGGTGGCGGTGGCGGCGGCGATCGATCTACCAAGAAACTAGACACTCCCGCTTCGCATTCCTTGCATGGAAAAGAGGGGGGATTGGATCGATCGAGAGCCCAAATGGGATATTGCGGAGGATCCTCTATCGATCTCGCAACAAAACAGAGGAAACGACGGGGGAGAGCTCACAAACAAGGGAGAGAAAGACAAGCCACCATAGCCGAGGAGAGGGATAGCTCTCACAGCGCACACAGCTTCTTCTTCCTCGTCTTTCTCTTTGGCCCTTCAAATGGGAGAGGGGGTGCTGCCCGCTGCCCGCCCTGCCCGGGCTGCCCGGTGCCCGGTGCCCGTACCCATGTGTCGTACGAGGGGAAATTTCAGCCCTGGCCCAATTCCCTGGAATCGTGGAGGGGTCGTGCATCTAGAAAATATTCCGGTGCAGTGCGTGTGCATTTTGTGGCCCCCTCCCTCCTTTTTTTCCTTTTACTTTGTAAAGGGGTATTATTTTATTTGCCTCTTTGCTATGCCCAAAAGCCCTTCCGGGAAACGGTGGAACTCGTGGGAATGGAATCTTGGCCACTCGTAATTGCGAGGCGTTAACGCCCCACCACCAAGCTTAGAATTGATCCACCAGTTGATCAATTACAGTGCTTGATAGAAATGTATGAAGGGAGAGTTGTGAGGTTGGCGGTTTGGAATCGGGGGTGGAAAGAAATCACACACGTTGCACTCGCGCGTATTAAACCTAGAAAAGAGAGAGAGAGAGAGACGCTCCACCACCTTTTGCGAGGCCACGTGTTGCATGCAGTGGCGCTGTTGTCTATCATGGCCGATTTTTACCACCCCGGAGGAAGAAACGTGAATGTGTAGCGTCAGCGTGTCACATTGGAGGGTCTTGTGTACTGAATACGTTGAGTTGCGCCACCGACCACACACTGATTTATTAAATGGACCGCTGTCCGTACGGGCAGTACTGCCGCGGGCAGCGGGGGCATCGGGCAGTGGGACACGTTGGCTGCCCGGTGGCCCTGCACGAAGCCAAAGGGTCGCGGCGCCGCGTAGTTCCCAACCAGTGGGAAAATACACGCGGCGCGATTGCGAGCTGACGTCAGCGCTCTTATCGGCTCCGCCTCGCCGCCTCCTTACCCTTGCGGCTGTTGTGGGGCGTTGGATCGCGGGCGGGGATCCACGGCTGGGATCTTGTCTGGGGTTTTTCGCCCTAGGGCTTTCTGGGAGGGAGCTATGGCGATGGCGGGCGCGCCCAAGGCGCTCAAGGCGAGGAAGGGAGCGTTCAAGAGGATCGAGACGAAGATTGCAGGTACGCGGGAGAATGCGTCGAGGAAGAGGGTGAGGAAGAGGAAGAAGGGACAGGAGGAGCAGGGCGGGATTCTAGAGCCTGGAATTGAGAAGGAAAATGGGGAGGGAATTGGAGAGGAGGTTGAGGAGGATGAGAGGGATTTGGAGTCGGAGGAGGTTGCGAAGGATCCGGAGGTGGTGGAAGGCACTGTGCTTGTGAATGGTATGATGAGCAGCATGAAGTTTGGAGCGCTGCCACTGTCGGAGCCTACGAAGAATGCGATTGCAGAGATCGGGTTCACGAACATGACTGAGGTCTTTTTTCTCTTCTTTTTCTTGCTTCCTTAGCGACAAAGCTTTTTCTTTTGTAGATTCAATCGAGATCAATCCCAGAGCTGCTCAAGGGACGAGATGTTCTCGGAGCCGCAAGGACTGGCTCCGGCAAAACGCTTGCTTTTCTGGTTCCGGCTGTGGAGCTACTCTACCATGCTCGTTTCATGCCACGGAATGGAACTGGCGTTTTGATCATATCTCCTACGAGAGAGCTGGCGATGCAAGTAAGGATTCTTCCAGCTTTCTTACGGGTTTCTAAAGCTTTTTTTCTGGATAGATATATGGAGTTGCGAGGAAGTTGATGAAACACCATAGCCAAACCCACGGGATTGTTATGGGAGGAGTGAAACGAAACGTAGAGGCAGAAGCGTTGAAGAAAGGAGTGAATCTACTCGTTTCTACTCCAGGAAGGCTTCTGGATCATCTTCAAAACACGAAGGGTTTTCTGTTCAAGAATTTGCAGGTTAGTTTCTTTTTTTATTACTATTGTGGTATTCTCTCTTACTTTTCTGTCAGTGCCTTGTGATTGACGAGGCAGATCGCATCTTGGAAATTGGCTTTGAGGAGGATATGAAACAGATCATCAAGCTCCTACCGAAAGTAAGCATGGGTACTGTATCTTTGGGTGTCACAAGAATTTCATGCAGGAGCGACAAACTGTCCTTTTTTCTGCCACTCAAACGACAAAAGTAAGCAGTAGCCATAACAGCTAAGAAGATTCTAATCTGTATTTCTTGGAAGCTTAGGTGGAAGACTTGGCCAAACTTTCTTTCAAGAAAGCTCCTATATACATCGGAGTGGACGATGAGAGAAGCAAGGTATTAAACTCATGTTGTTAAAGAAGTCCTGAAAGGTCACTCTTTACAGGCTACAGTAGAAGGCTTGGAACAGGGCTACTGTGTTGTGAAGACCGACAAGCGGTTCCTTCTTCTGTTTACGTTCTTGAAAAAGAACCTCAAGAAAAAGGTATTCTTTGGACTAAACGGAACACATCACTTAGCCATTTATTTTTGCAGGTTATGGTGTTCTTTTCCTCTTGCAATTCAGTGAAATTCCACGGGGAACTTCTAAACTTCATCGATATACCATGCCTTGATATTCATGGCAAACAAAAGCAACAAAAGCGCACTAACACGTACTTTGAGTTCTGCAATGCGGAGAAGGGTATACTTCTTTGTACCGATGTTGCTGCTCGTGGCCTTGATATACCGGCTGTGGTAAGTTTTTCCAAAACCTTCCTGTAATTGTCTGTATTCAATCTCTCCTGCAGGACTGGATTATCCAATACGACCCTCCGGATGATCCAAAGGTAAACGAGCGTTAACTTTTTTCTTCTCTAAATTGTTTTTACGACAGGAATATATTCACAGAGTTGGTCGTACTGCGAGAGGTGAGAGCGGTCGTGGACGAGCTTTACTGTTTCTAACCCCAGAGGAGCTGGGATTTAAACGTTATCTCACGGTGAGATATTGATCTTCCTGCGTGCATTCGTCTAGAATCTCTGTTGTGTTTCAGATGGCGAAGGTCCCTCTAAATGAATACATGTTTCCAGAAAATAAGATCGCGAATGTGCAATCGCAGCTGGTAAGAAGACGATGGAAAAGATGGATTTTAACCTATATGTTCAAACTTCTTGGCAGGAAAACCTGATAGGCAAAAATTATAATCTTCACAGGTCAGCGCGCGACGCATACAGGTCGTATATCATGGCGTACAATTCGCATGCCATGAAAGATGCCTTCAACGTCCACAGGCTTGACTTACAGGTATTTTTTTCTAAAGCTTTCTCTGTTGTGCACGTAAGTGCTCGTTTGCAAAACTTTGCAGGCAGTCGCAGCGTCCTTTGGCTTTAGCTGTCCACCAAAGATAAACAATCTCAGCATCGATAGCAGCGCCGCCAAGTTTCGCAAACAAGGCAAGGAGAGGAAGAGTTCCGGGCACAAGTTTGGCGCAAGTAATCCTTACGGGAAACGACGCGAAGACGACAAGCGGCAGTTTTCCAAGTTTTGATAAGAGAGTTTTTAAACATTACGCAAGAGACAACAGGCGGAAGATCTGGAAAAAGTCTTCACGATCGAGATCGCGTGATCACAAGTTACGTCATGAGATCCCAGGTATGACCAAGCTTCGTTTTCGAAAACTGATCGAATGTATGCAAGCAGGCACAAGTCTAGTTCCATCTTGATAAGTAAGTTTTGGTTTCGTCTGTAACAACCTTTTCCAGACGATTAGATTCTGAAGATAACCAATGTGAGGCAGCTTTGAGCGTGTCAAGTAAACGACAAGCAGCTGTTCTTTCTCCAAGTCTTCGAACTTTTCACGGCTTTTGAGGAGCAGAGGAGAAATCTCCATATCTGTACCAAAAGTCCTGCTCGCCGAGGTTTGATCAAGATCGCGTGACAACTTTACGTGATGCGCTTTTGGATCTACGTCCACAGCTATATAGTTTTGACACCTCAGAGGTCTGGAACGTCAAACGCCGTCGGTGGTGGCGACAGTGGTCGAAGGCCGAGGTGGCGAGCTACTGGGTTCACATCTGGACCGCCAAGGATGGCCGCGTCACCCCTACAACACCTACGTCACCGTTTCGTTTCCCGGGTCGACGATGCTGTCGAGAGAATTTGGAGCGCAGCAGCTCCCTGGCATTGTTCTCGCAATGGAGAAGTCCTGAAACTTGTCATCATGTCTCGGCAGCTGCTTTTTGTTCGAGTTCGAGTTCCTCGAAAAACTCTTCGAGCGCTCTCTCGTCTCCTGCCCGAGTAGCAAGGCCGATGGCACGGACCCTCTCGGCGTCGGCCCATAGCCCCCAGGCAGCGTACGTGTTGGACAGGAGCATGCACGACTGCGTCTTCTTGTCTGGAGCGAAATGGTTGATGTAGTTTGTCACCCGCAGTGCTCGAGCGATGTCGCTGTGCGTTTTGCAGGCACACATGAGGCTCAGCCACTGTGCTCCACTCGGCTCAAACGGCATGTTGCAAATCATATCCTCGGCGTCCTCCAAACGTCCTGCTCTTCCCAGAACGTCGAGGAAGCAACCATAGTGCTCGTTTCCAAAGCTAACTCCATAGTCCCCTATACAAAGAAAGCAAAACCAGTCAGTCTGGAAGAGACAAGAACGAAGCACAACTTACCAGCCATGGAGATGAACAAACTCCTGCTCTCTTCGACTAGTCCTGCGTGGCTACACGCCGAGAGCACGCTTACAAAGATCGCGTCGTCGGGGTCGAAGCCATCCAGCTGCATGAGGAAAAAGAGCTGCTTTGCCTCCTCGATGTGGCCGTGTTGAGCGTAAGCACCGACGAGTGTGCTCCAGGTAACCATGTTCTTCACGGGCATCACCTCAAACTCTCCTCTCGCTTCTTTCAGGCTCCCGCACCTCCCGTACATGTTGACGATGGAGTTGCTGATAAACTCGTCAGCCGAGTAGCCGCTGGAAACTAGCCTCTGGTGGATCAGTCTTCCCTGCTTTAGATTTGAAGCGCTGGCACAAGCGTCGAGAACGCTGATGAAGGTGATCTCGTTGGCTCTCAAACCTTCCAGCTCCATCTGCTGGAATGTTTGCACTGCCTCTTTGTGCTTCCCGTGCTGGGAACACGTTGCGGTCATGGCAGTCCAGGCAGAGGTGTTGGTTTTGCTGCTCATCCTCTCGAAGACTTCCCTGGCATCCTCAAAGCTCCCACACTTTGCATACATGCAAATGAGAGCTGTAGCTTGCATGTCCGTGACGTGAACCGTTTCCAAAAGACGAGCGTGGAGCTGCTTCCCTTCCGCTAGACTCGAGCAGCCGTCTAGAGCACCGAGAAAAGTCACCCGATCCGGCTTGAAGCCTTCCAAGTCAAGCCTGTGAAACATAAGCATCGCTTGAGCATCGTCTCCATTCTGCGCATAAGCCACGATCATTGACGTCCACGAGATCAAATCCTTGAAACTCTGCTGCTCAAACACGTACCTGGCCTGTTCCAGCTTGCCACACTTGATGTACATCTTCGCGAGCGCACCTTTGACGAGGTCGGAGAATGAGTTCGAGCACTCGAGGAGGCCATGGATAGCTTCTCCATGTAAAGCTGCCGCTGAGGTCGAGCACGCGTTGATTATACTCATGTAGGTGCTCTCGCTCGGTGTGTGGCCTTCGCAATCCAGCTTCGCGAACATCTGAAACGCCTCCCTGTGTTTCTCGTGCTCGCTGCAAGCCTGTATGATCGCGTTCCAGGCAACCAAATCCGGAGAGCACAAGCTCTGGAAAGCGGACATGGCGTCTCGAAAGCTACCGCATTTCCCATACATGCTAACCAAGCACGTCACCACCATAACATCTTGTGCCAGCTTGCTCTCGGAAACACAGCGATGTACCAGCCGACCCATCGCCAAGTTCTTCTTTCTTGTGCAAGCATCCAGCACACTGACCAACGTTGCCTTGGAAGCTTTCTCACCCTCCAGTCCCATCCTTCTAAACAGCAGCACAACTTCGTCGAGGTGACCGCACTGAGCATAGGCCGAGATCATCGAGTTCCAGGCTATGATATCCCTCACTTCGACGGCTTCGAACAGTCTCCTGGCGTCTTGAACCATCCCACATCTCCCAAACATGCTCTGAGCTGCGGTAGCCAGCCTGACGTGAGACTCCAGTCCCTCCGCCACTGCCCGATTGTAAACTCGGATCCCATGAGCTATGAGCTCTTCACAGCTACAGGCCCGAAGGATGGAGATGAAAGTGATGTAGCTTGGCTTCTTGCCTTCCAAGTCCATCACCCACAAGAGACCCAGTGCCTGGAAGTTATGCCCGGACTGGGCATAAGCCGTTATCATGATGTTCCAGGAGAAAGCATCCTTGTCCTCAATGCTGTCAAACTCTCGCCGGGCTTCTTCGGTGCAGCCACACTTTCCCAGCATGCTGATGTAGCGGTTTCGAAGCCTCGTCGATGACTTGCCATTTTCTGCGAGTGCGTAGTGGGCAAACACTCGCCTCCCTTCGGCAGCTGCGTTTGCCTCCCCGCAACGTATCAAGAGATCGATGTAAACTGACTCGCTGGGAACAGTCTTGGATTGCTCTAGCTCGTGGACAAGCTGGTGGAGCTCTCGCACTAGTGCCGAGAACCTTCTTTGTTTGTTGATCCACTGTGTTGCGCAGTGCACCGCTCTCATCTGCTCATTGCACAACTTCCATGCAGGCCAGTTCCAATCAACCTGGAAAAACTATCCTGATTAGTTGGACGAGAACAAAGAAACTAACCACGAACCGAGCTTTAGCCGAAAAGGTCTTCTTCCACTGGAGGAGCTCGCAAGCGTATTCCCCTGGCTCGCATAATCTTCGCCAGCTCGGCCAGATCGTCCCACCGGCCAGCGTTCGTGTACAGCTGCTCCAGGATGGCGTACGTTCCACTGTCTTGGGGATCCAGCTCAAACAGCAGCATAGCAGCTCTCGTCCCTCGCTCCACATCGCCGTGAGCTCGGCAAGAGGTGAGCAGCGAAGTCCAGTGAACCGGAGAGAACTGCATCGCAGGAAGCCGCTCCAAAAACTCCTCGGCCACATCCAGCATCCCGGCACGAGCAAGCAGATCCACGACGCAGCCATAGTGCTCGCTCAGGTAATGGATGCCAAAGTCCTGCTGGAGAGACACGAACAGATCTCGTCCCTCGCGGAGAAGCCCAAGGTGGCTGCAAACCGAGAGGATGATGACGAAAGTTATGTCGTCCATCTTGAGCCCCTCGATGTGCATGTCCCGGAACAAGTCGAGAGCAACCAGTCCCTGCCCGTGCTCCGCGTACTGCGTCATCATCACCGTCCAGGAGCTCCCAATCCTCGGGCTCATACTGTCGAAGACCTCTCTCGCCAGCTTCAAGCTTCCACACCGTCCATACATGTTGAGCAGCGCGTTGAGAAGGATGATATCTCCATCCAGGCCATGGTAGGAGATGTCCTCGTGGACCATCTTCCCGATTCTCAGCTCCCCGAGGTTGGCACAGGCGTTGAGAACGTTGATGAAAGTAACCTCGTCCGGCTTCACCACCTTCTCGGCCTTCATCCTCTGGTAGAGCGCCATAGCCTCTTCTCCAAACCCGTGCTGCGCGTAGATCCCAATTATCGCGTTCCAGCACACGGAGTTCCTCGTTTCCAGTGCCTCAAACAAGCTTCTCGCGTCGCGGATGTTGCCGTGCTTGCCGTAGAAGCTGAGGATACACGTCTGGACAGAGAGAGTCGAGTCATATCCCATCTCGTGAACACGCTGCTGGACTCTCGGTACCTGTTCTAGATCGCCCAGCACCTCGCTGATCTCGATCAAGCATAGGAAAGTTACGTGGTCCGCCTTGGATCCATCCTGCTCCATCCTCCAGAAGAGCTCCATCGCTTCCCTGCCTAGACCATTACGAGCGTAAGCCGTGAGCATCGCATTCCAAGTCACTACAGACCTCTCCACCATCTGGTTGAAGACTTGCTTTGCGAGGTCGAGCCGCGAGCATCCAGTGTACATGCTACACACGGCGGTCTGGAGCACGACGCTCTCTTCCATCCCACTTCCAACCAGGCAGCAGTGGAGAGCTCTCGCGTCGCGGAGATTTCCCAGCCTCGAGCACACTGCTAGCGCGTTCATGAAAGTTACCTCGCTGGGAAAAACGCCATCCAGATCCATGAGCTTGAAAGCTTCCAGCGCCTCCTTCTCCATCCTATTCTGGCCATAGGCGAGGAGGAGCATCGTGTAGGAGAAGACGTTGGGGTTGAGGATCGTCTGGAAGACTGCCAGAGCTTTGCCGGGGCTGCCGCATTTGCCATACATCTCGATGATGAGATTTCGCAGGTACCTGCCCGGGATGTGGCCATTGCTTGCCAGATTCTCGTGGACGCGGCAGCCGAGCAGCAGAGATTTCGCGTTGGCGCAGTGCTTGAGCAGTACGGCGTACTCCTCCAGCGTTGCATTTGCCTCGCCGCGCTCCAGCTTGGAAATCAGGGCTTCCAGCTCCTCCAGCGAGCTCTGATCGGAGATCGCTGTCGAGAGGAAGTACCTGGCGGCCGCGCTGGTATGGAGAATCCGGCGGCGCGCGGCAGCGTGGCGCCATCGCCCGAGCATTCATTCATGCCCAAACAGGGCATACCTAAAATAAAACTCAAAAGAAATTTTAGGGCTCTTGGCGGGAGTTTAGGGTTCTTGAATGGAGCTGGGTTCCCCGGTGGATCGGCAATGCGACCAGGCGGAGGATCTTTTTGCCGCGATGCCTGTGTATGACGAGGAGGAGGACGATGATCCGATTGCGGCGGGGTACGAGAGATTTCCCCCAAATTGCGCGGTTTGTAAGGAATCCCTTGTGATGTGGGGAGGGCCGGTCTCGCTCTCTTGCGGGCATAGCTTGTGCCTGGAGTGCTTGCGAAAGGTAGAGTTCTTTTGATTCTTTCGAGAGAATTGTCCACTAGAGTGATCAGTGATGTATGTTTCTGGCAGGCTCAAACGTTTTCCTCGCATCCATTACTGTGCCCCCTCTGCAAAGAGATCGAGGAATGGGTGCCGGTGTCCGTGCCACCCATGGACATCGACGATTACGAGAAGGGTCTCTACGAGAATGGATGCGACCGCGTGAGCGTCTCGCCGGACAAGAAGCTCGGCGCGCTCTTCACCACAATGAGAAAGATGGTGGCGGGCCGGAGAAGCGAAGCAAAGAAAAGCCGGAGGAAGCAGAGCCTCTACGCAATGACGAGCTTCCTCGAGGACGTCCAAGTCATGAAGGCCGTGTTTGAGGCCGAGCCCCCGGAGTGGCTCCCGGACAGCTCCGCCACCTCGTGCATGCAGTGCTCCACCAGCTTCAAGGCTCTCAGCTGTGGCCGCCACCACTGCCGGTTCTGCGGCCAGATCTTCTGCGGCCGCTGCTCGAGTGCGCGGAGCTTGCTGCCATCGAAGTTTAGAGTCCGGGAGCCTCAGCGAGTGTGTGACACTTGTGCAAGCGCCTTGGAACCGGGGCAGACGCTGCTTGCTCTTCAAGTCAGCCATGCCTTCCAGACTGCTACTCACGACGTCACGGACGCTAGCTGCTTGAGATCGTGGCTGAATAGTCCTCTGGGACTCTCCATGGAGCACGAAATCTACAAGGCAACGAATACACTCCGGCATTTTCTCAAGGTACGCACTGCCTTACTTCCTTTTTTCTACAAGACTTATGTAGCGATCAGGCTGGAAGGCTGGCACCAGAGAGAACTATACCAGCAACGGTTCTAAAGAATGCCAAGGGACTAGCCATCCTCACTGTTGTGAAAGCCGGCATGGGTGTTACTTACAAGGTCGGCACAGGGCTCTTGGTTGCTCGTCTCCAGAACAACACTTGGTCAGCTCCCTCGGCGATTGCTTCGTGTGGCATGGGATGGGGTTTACAGGTAAAGCAAGCGACCTTTCCTTTTGTTTTTCTTTGGTCTGTTCTTCATGCTTTTCTTCCATGATCGTGTTTTTTTTTTTTTCAGTTTGGTGGGGAGCTCACGGACTTTATCATTGTCCTGCGCAACGATTCAACAGTGAAAGCTTTTGGAGGACGCGTTCATTTGTCGATTGGAGCGGGAGTCAGCGTTGCTGCCGGACCTGTTGGTCGTGTTGCCGAGGCCGACTTGCGAACTGGAGATGGAGGTGTGGCTGCTTGTTACACTTATAGCTGCAGCAGAGGTATGTCGTGACATTTGGAGCTCTTTAGCCAAGCTTTTGCATTGCATATACAGGTGTGTTCTTGGGATGTTCTCTGGAAGGCAATGTTGTGGCAACACGCAAAGCAATGAATAGTGCGTTTTATGGGGACAACTGCGTTACAGCTAAGGATATCTTGTTTGGATCCGTGCCACAACCAAATGCTGCTTCTCCATTGTATGATACTCTCGAGGAGCTTTGCAGATGAATTCCTTTGTACAGCACAATCTCATATATCATTTAGGCAAATGTACAGAATAAAGATTATGAATAGAAGTTTCTGATTCCCTCATTTTAGATTTACTGTAAATCATATAACTAAAAATTATCTGAGGAGAGGATACAATATCAACTTCAAGAAAAGTTTGCTAGAATGAATGGATTAATAAATGGATGCACTACAGCTAAGGATATCTTGTTTGGATCAATTCCGCAACCAAATGTAGCATCTCTGATACTTTCAAGGAGATTTGCAGATGAATTCCTTTGTACAGCACAATCTCATTTAGTCAAACGTACAGAATAAAGATGGAGTTTTAATCATAAAATCATTTACTCAGAAATGTAAATAAATAACAATTTGGTTGCTTTGGACAATATTTTTTTATTGACCAAATAACCTTATTTAATTTTGTATACACAACTAAATTTCCATCATTTTGAAGAATAAGTTTGCATGGGCCATAATATTTATAAGGGATATCCATATAATATATTTTCCAGAATAAAGATAAACTCTACAATCTAATCCAACTATAAGTATATTCTTACCATTTGGTGATTGTAAGAAGTCATCAGTAAATATTTTGTTATTATAAAATCCTGCAATTAATTCTGATTTTCTATGATGACATTTTTTATTTTTGAAAGAATTTAATTTTTTCAATTCTAGTAAATTTGTATCTAATTCATGGTGTTGCCTTAAATGAATAACAACATAACCAATCATATAATTTAAAGCTACAATATTGCAAGAAGTAGAACGTGCTCTTTGTATTGCTAATGTATTACGGTCTATAATTCTTCTAAATGCTTGACGTAAAACATGACCACTATATTCTTCATCAGGAAATGCATTATTCATACATTCTGGGAGTTCTCCTTCTGAACGCTCAATTCTAACACATACAATTCCTCTCTCAATAGGTACCAAATGAAAATTACTGATTATAAATCCTGATCTATTGTTATAAGTATGTATTGAGTTTACAAGAAAATAAAAACCATCAAGTATAGATTCAATTTCATTTTCATATAACACATTGTTTTGGCCCCATGTAATCTCATCTGGGCTTGAATTAATCTGTATCACTAACCACCACAAAGAATATATAAATTTAAAATATTTGGAAGACATTATAAATAATACAACTAAATATTATACTAAGAATTTTGGGAATAATTTTGCAATTTGGTGTAGGATAAAAAAATCCAGATCTTAAATATGGATACTTAGATCATTAGTAGTATCAATATAGAATTATATATACTAGTATTAAATTATATTATAAGTATATAGGATATGTACATGTGTCTATGTAAGGTAAAACTATATATGGATGTTTCAAGCTGCCCTAGTGCCCTCTGAGCACTAGAGAGTTGGGATTCTAACTCAACCTTTATATATGTATCTACAAGTGGCATTATACAAGATGACTCTTCATGCCAATGCACTAAATTTATACTTATGCTAATTAGCTTTGCTTTCATATGTACCATTTGGGTCATAAATTAGAAACTTTGTTCTTTCCAACTTGCAAGTTATCTCACTAAGTTAAGTGATCAACTTATAATCATGTATAAACTCAACCATACTTGGCTTTATGGGCCTTCTCTTCTGAAATCAACTTTTTAGCTAGGAACTTTATTCTTTTGACTTGCCAATCCCATTTAATAAGTCATCTAGTTAAGTAATATAGTTTCCACGTAAATATGTAAGTCCTTAAATACTAACTTCCATTCAAAGTCATCCCTTTGAACATGCAAAAACCATTTCCCTAACCTTAATAACTTTATTTTATGATAAACTTTAAAACCATGCTTTTATTTTAATTACACTCGTGCTTATGAACCATTCGTACTCAATTTTTTATATACCAACTTACTCAAATTTGTCTTTGGAGCATTGAAAGGGCTTTACCCCTCAGCTTGTTAAGGCCTCTCCCTTCATAAGTTTTCTTCTCACTATCTAGTCTAATATAGACATTTTCATATTTTAAACTTTTTATAGTATCATATTTACAAGTAACAAACCTTTAAGCTCACATTTAATTCCCCACTCTTAACTTGTATTAGTTATGTCCCTCAACTTTTATAGTTCAATTTTATCCATTTATTATTTGCTTTAAGATTTATATATTTCTTTTGCTTATTCTTCTCTATACTAAGAAAATAACTTTACACTTCTTACTCACACATTAGCAAGTATTGTGAGGGATAAATTTACTCAATGATTTAGAGAGTGGTTCCTCAATCTAAATATGCTTAACTTTTAATCTTATATACCAAGATTAATATTGCTACTAATGGGCTTCTATATGCTTATTGTTAGCCATATTAAAACATTTAGTATGTAGTATAAACTTCCATTTTAAATATATATATCCTCATCCATATTTGACTATTCACAGTTATTAACTCCATTTTCAAATTCATAAGCACCATTATGAGGATAATCTTATGACTCCTTTATTATTTAGGAGATTTTATTCTTCACATGATCCTAATTATAATTGTTTATTACAACAATATTAAAGACAACTTTGTTAAGTTATATATCCTCATATAGATCACATCCTCAACTTTTTGAGAAAAACCATCTAAAGTTCTCAAGGTCTTAAAATTATTCCCTTATAATAGGTCCTTTTTTTACCACACTACTTATAAATTCACATATAAAACAAAGTGCATATTATGCTCTTATGCCATCGTACTCCTCAATCTAGCCTCACTCTTGGGACCTTTAGATATCAATGTCAAGTGATGATATACTTGGATGCCAATAAAAGTTAAACTAAAGAAAAACACTGATATCAAGCTGTAAGCGATTAAATTTTCTATTCTATTTTAGCACTTAACTATATATTTGACCATTTAGAGGAGTCTCACTCATAACTCCTATAAGTCCTTATCCCAACTTGGGAAACTTACTAAGTCTTTAGAGATGGACTCAAAATTATACCAACTTCACACTTGTGTAAAATTTTGAATTTTGACTTCTTAAGAGGTCACCCAGTCCAATACTATTCAAACCCAATAACACTTAACCCCGAATATCCTAAGACCCTTAACCAATTGGAAAAGGGGGTGCACTCTCTATATTTAAACCTTTATGGATGATCTCTCAAATTATTCCCTTTGGTTGCTTATAACTTGGTGTAAATGCTCTATGTGTCCAAATCCCACCTTAAACATCCAAAAGTACCACTAATGTCCTAGCCTCTTACGTTAAGGCCATACTTATTCTCATTATCTTACTGATAATTCAATACCATATATACTATGAGCATGTCTTTGAAAGACTAGACTATTTGTCCATAAATGGTCATTTTATGACCACTTCTTACCATTTTTAGGATGCCTTAAGACATGAGAAACATCATCTCTTAATATCCTTTCTTCAATTTCCACCAAATTTGTCTCTATCCTTAACATTGTAATTGGGTTAGGGCTTGAAAGCCCATCCACTAAGTTCCATTAACATTACATGATCATACCTTTAATTGCTAAACAAAAGGGCCATTCCTCTTCCTTTCCACTATTAAAGACTTTAAGATAATATTTTGAAATACTACAACCCAATGCGAGCCTCTTAGGTACTCTCCCCACCTTTTGCCATGTGGTTAGAGCAAGGTTCTGATGAACTATGCAAGGTATCTAAATAAGTAGTGCCACCCATACTTAGATTGGGAGCATTAACTATTCGATTTCTTAGAAAAGTTAAAGTTGACTTTTGAACATTTCACTAAGTCATTACATTTGTCCATTTATATTCATTTTACCCTTAAACTCCTTAATGTTTATATCATTACTCACCATATGAGTATAACCTTCATTAGTCACATTGGTTCCTCTGAAATCCTTCTCTTACTATCCCACAAAGATTTATCAAACCCCCCAGGGTTTGAGAGACAATGGCTTTAGGCTTTCACCCTTTGGACTTGGACTCAAACTCAGACTCTATCTTGGTTTTGGTTTCAAACTTGGTCTCAAATTCCATTTCTAACTCTTTCATGTGTCATAACATTTGCCACGTTTGGTCTTTCTTTTATCCCTTTTTAAAGACTCATAAATCAATCAATTCATGCTTATTCCTTAAACACTTTTTTAAGAGTTTTAATTTTGCTCTCTACTTTTTGAGTTGGAACTTTTGGTCAAAACGTGTTACACTCATTAAACTTCCACTTCAGCCACTGCATGTGGCTCACCTTTAACTCCACTTTAGGCTTTACAGATTTGTGTCTTATAGTGTGAGGCACAAATCCCTAAGGCCCAAAATGGAGGTAAAATGTGCTATATGGCAATGGTCAAAGTGGAAGTCCAACAAACATAACATGTTTAGACCAAATGTTTCAACTTGAAAAGTCGAGAACGAGAGTGGAACTTCTAAAGAAGTGCTCAAGGAATAAGTATAAAATGATTGGTGAACAAGTCTCTAAAAAAGGATATGAAAGGGACTGACATATGGCAAGTGTTATGACACGTGGAAGTGTCAAGACTGACTCAAGAAGGAGTTTGAGATGGAGACCAAAACAGAGACTGAATCTGAGTCTGAGTCCAAGTCCAAGTCCAAATCCAAGTTTAAGCCCAAGTTTGAGACCGAGTCCAAGATGAAGTCTAAATATTAATAAAGGTTATGGGGTGAAAGCCCAAAACAATCGTCCTTTAGAGGGGGTTGTAGGGGGTTTCAAAAGTATAATAGGGAAAGTGTGGGGGTTGGACTCTAGTGGAATTAATTTGGCTAGAAAAGGTTAATGTGACTTAGGAAAGTTACACCCATATAGTGGGTGATGATATAACTATTGAGAAGTCCAAAGTTATAGTGAATACAGACAGATAAATAGGATGGCTTAGTGAAGTGTTCAAGGGCTGACTCTAGTTCTTCCAAGAGATCAAACGATTGATGCTCCCAATTTAAGTGTGGGTGGCACTATTTATTTGGATACTTAGTGTGGCTCAACAGAACCTTACTTTAACCATATTGCTCTAAGGGCAAAATGTGAGAAGAGTACCCAAGAAGCTTGTATAAAACCATGGTGTTTTGAAATGTCATCCCAAAGTCCCAAACTATAGAAAAGAAGATGAGTAGTCCTCTTACCAAAGAAGTCTCAAAAGTTAGTGGGACTTAGTGGTCAGGCCTTCAACTCTGATTCAATGGCAATATTAGTGAATATAGCTGTGGATGGAGAGGGATTTGGCAAGGACTGAAAAAGGGATTATAGGGAAGGCTATTCTCCAAGCATCCTAAGGATGTTAAGATGTAATTTTGGGATGACCACTCATGGATAGATGGCCTAGTCTTTGAGAGATGAGACTATGGCATGTGTGATCTAGGACTACTAATGAGATAAGGGTAAATAAACATAGCCTTAGCATAACAAATTAATATATCGATGGTACCTTTAGGGTGTTTATTATAGGATCAAGTATAAATACCATTCATGAGGTAGCATATCCCTAAGTCGGGAATATGACTTATGAAGGTTGTGAATGAAACCTTTTCAAGTGGTTAAAGGTGTGGTTAGGTGACTAAAGTAAAATGAAAAATTTAGTCACTTACATATGATTTTTATTTGCAATCCACCTCAACAGATTGATATAATATCCAACTTTAGAGCCATCTTTATTAGTATCTCTAGCCTCCTTTAAAACACTCTCTATCCATTTGGAATAGGCTATAACACAATTATACCAAACAACTCCTAGCATCACCACTAATTTCTCTCATGGTGTTTTCTTTGTGTTTAGTTTTTTCTATTTTCTTTTCTAAGATTTATCTTCTTATGGTAGCAAGTTCAAACTTGGATTTTAGAATCAAGGTGGCCTCAACTTCATTTATCTAAGAGTTCATTCATTTTCCAACTTTTTATTTCATGGTTTTTATGTTTTTCTCTATATCATAGTCATCCACACACCATCACCATGACTATTATACATTGACAATCACTATCCACTACTTTTTCCATTCACTACACCATAATTACACTATAAGTTATAATTTGTTATAATTACTTGGTGTAGTGAATGTGATTATACGATGAGATTTAGATATATTGTCACTATAGATCCTTAGAACTTTAAGGGATATATGAGGATAAAATAGTTATTAAAGGCTCTTTTATCAAATAATTACTCTTTTTCCAATTAATTTAAGGGGAGAGAGAGGGTGTGCTATATGTGGTATTAGTTCAACTTTCATTGATTAGTGGCTACTTAAAATATAATATACCCTTAAGCAAGATATATTCTTACCCCTAAAATTGAAATTATACATATTAGGCATTCACAGATGAAGGAATCCATAATGAAACTATAGTATGAATGTATAATTAGTTGCTTCATATGGAATAGTTGCTTAATATAGATTATTACTTAATAGCCAATAAGGACATTAACATCTTTAAAAAGGGGTGAATGTAACATATGTGATCATGGAATGAGATTAAGATAGGTGTAAACAAAAAAAAAATGACTTGAAAAACAATTCATAAAGGTTCAAATATAAAGGGAAAGAACAAAAATGCACTCCTTTTTTTAATCGGTTAAAATTTTTGAGATTGTTAGGTTTGAATAATACTGGGCTAAATAGCCTTTGGAAAGTCCAAATTTAAAAGCTTACAATACGATGTTCTACACTTGGTTCATATTTATTCACTTTTCTCATCATGCACACATTCATTTGGGGATATCTTTACACACCATCTTTATTACATTTGCTATATACAACACACCAAACTCAAGATGTAAAGCAAAATTCATTGATAAAGCAATTTAGACACTAGAATCTAACATCTATAGTAGGATGGACTTGACTATAGTAGCAAGTTAAGCATAATAAATAGGCAAATGTTGTTTCTTGAACCCACATAGACACAACAAGATGCAATGATCCTTAACTATGATTACTTCTCTAACAATTAACACACAATCCTTTTATGACTTTAACAACCATTATATGTTAAAAATCTCCTCCACTATTAGTCCATTCAAGCTGATTAACCATTCCTCACATCATCTATCATTATTATCATTATGACTGCTAAGATCAAGCCCATTTTCATTGAAACTTTTGGGGTGAGCTAGGCCATATTTGAGAAACTTCCCAAATGTTTATTAAAAATGACTATTATGACTATTATGACTATTATGACTATTATAAATGACTTATCCCTTTTGGTTTCTTTGTTTTTCTATTAGTCTCTTTTTTGATCAATTGTTCACCTTTTGTGGTTTTCCCTTATCCTAAAGTTTTGCAACTTTTACTCTCTTTTTCCTTTCTTTGTGTTTTCTTTAATTCTCTTTCTCAAAAGCAATTAGAGATTGGAACAACAATTTGGTCATGGGGTTGTGTATGTGATAACAATCCTCTATGGTGGCAAGATTTCCTAGATATTCCATTCCCCTTTCTCATGAGCGAAGCACTAAATGTAGATATGGAGCCCAAGGGAGTTAGTGGAGCTGATGCTAGAGTAGAGTCTACTTCATAATTGGCCATTTTATGCTTCTTCTAAACTATTATTGCCACTGCTAAGGCACTTGCTCCTTGGCAACAAGAATAGTGTTCAGAGGGGATTTACTAGAATCAATGACTAAGGCTGCTTCAAGTGCTCTCTAGTTGAGCAGTTGCTGGTACCCTATTGATGATGATGCCAGCACCAGCATCACTAAAATTGGTAGCCTTTTCCATGCTGCCACATCCAAACCATCATTCACACAGAGTGTGTAGAAATCCTTTCAGGTATCTCTGTTTGCTCAAAAGGTGATGCCACCACATCAACGGCATTGCAAAAAATTTAGCAATGTAGGCAAAATAGTGTCTACATTTTAAATATACTACATTTCTAACTATTATAGAGAATCAAACACCCTGGGGAACCATGGTCATGGCTTTGGCTCATCCGGATGATTATCTGTTTGATTTCTCATTGAAACATTGTTGTGTTATTCAATTTAATGACAAATAACCGTTAGAGTTGCAAGCAAGCCAAATCATTCCCGCCACTCGAGAGTGTAGGGTTTTGGGCATGGCGGCTCTGTGTAGTCCGCAGCGGAAGGGCGCGCTGGAGAGCGATGGCGATGGCGCCGCTGGTATCACCTTCTCCAAGTTCAAGTATAGGTTCCAGAATTTGCTCACGGAGGTCCGGGCGCTCAAAGTAAGGCTAGCGCGTCTGCTCCTCTTCTCAGTTTGTCGATCCTTTCGCAGTCCAAGGAATGCTCAGCTCGAATGGAGGCGGAGCTTTCGGTTCAGGCAAGTTCTTGGATAGGATTTCTTTCTTTCTAAATCTTTCTTTCTTGTTTGTTTGCCAGAAGCTGAGATCAAAGGAGGCCGATCAAGACAAAGAAAAGGCATCGCTGCAGGCCCAAATCATGGAAGCTACCGAAGCTCGGCAGAAGCTGGAAAACGCCGTGAGTGGTTTTGTTTTTTTTTTTTTTTGCTAGCTGGTGATGGCTTGCTGTTTTTTTTTTTTTTGGCAGATTAAGATTATGGAGCTTGAAATGTCTGCCATGGAGAAAAATGTGGCAAGCTCGAAGATGCAATTGAAGGCTGTACTAGATTCCAGAAACACAGTGGTGGAGGAACTTAAGGTTGAAAATCTCTAATCTTTTCAAAGTTTCACGTTACGTTTTTTTCGCAGATAGCCAATTACGAGCTGGAACAGAAGCTAAAGAGTACTTCCAGCCATTTATCGGTAGCCATGGAAAAGCTAAGCAGGAACACGATGCTGTTTGAGGCTGTAGAACAAGAAGCCTCGTCTGTGAAGAGAACCTTAGATGAAACCCGTCAAATCGTGGCTTCCAGAGCAGATATGGGTAATTTTGCAGTAATAGTTCGTTTCCATCTTGTTTACGAGAATGTCTTGCAGTTGCCGAGCTTCAGCAACAGGTGGCATGGCTGGTCGATATCGAGCAAAAGCTCCTTGGTAAGTTTAAGCTTTTTTTTGTGCGTTCTCGGTTGTGACTTTGACATCTCAGATAAAGCACGATTACTGGAGTGCGAGCTACGAAACAAAAACGTTTCATGCTCTAAAAAGGAAAAGGAAATCATCGCGTTAAGACATATGCTCGATACAAGAAACGACTCGAGCATCCAAGCGAAGCTAACCATAATATCCGCATGTACTGGTTATCCAGATCAAATATCCTTGACGAACGAACATCCAGAAATCGTCGGAAGCGAAAGACCGCACTATCTCGGTCCTTACAATGGATAAACAGGTTTGTTTTATTAGTCCTTTCCTTGAGGAGTTTGAGCTTGCTTTTCTATTTTGTTTGGCAGGGTTTAATTGGCGAGATAGAAAGCCTGAAGGCTGTTGTGAAAAGATTTCAAGAAGCTGCGGCTGAGCAAGATTCGTCTTCAAAAATATTACGTGAGAAAGTTCTCGATTACCAACACTTGCTCAGAGAGAAAAGTAAAATGGTATGAGAGTGCTACTTTGAAGATTGAGTTTTAACGATTGTTTAGTGTGAAGGGCACTTGCCAAGCTCACAAGAACTTAGACAGGGAGATCTGGATCTTGAAGAGAATCACGAGGCACAACTTCAAGACAAATCACCAGCGCGTGTTGAAGGCACGTATCGATCTATTTAGTATGTTGCTCTCAACATTGACGTTTCTGTGCAGAAATCAAAGAGCCAATCGTCGTTGGTTGTAGCTCAGATAAAGAAGACGCTACTCTCACCAATGGTAAGACTTCATTTTTATCAATGCCTTTCCAAACCCATGATCCTGCAGATGGTGGCACCCGTGAAGAACATCTTCAGCAATGTGCAGAGAAAGAAGAAGGTGGATTAACGTCATGCACTTGCGGCCGGCCGCCTGATTCTTCTATGGTAACGCCTTTGATCGCATGCTGTATAAATGCTTCACAGTTTTCTATGTTTTTTTTCTTATCTTCAGCTGGAGTGCGTGAGCTGCAATAACCAATTCCATGCCGCATATGTTTCATGGGAAGAATCATCGTCAGGTATGAATGATGGCTAAGCTTGTCGTATGTCTCCTTACGAGAATCACTGCAGCGTACACGTGTACGAGTTGTCAAAATCGTCCAGTAAAGAAGATGAAGCTATCCGACATTGAAAGCCAGCCGCTGTGAAACACTTTGTCTCCCAAGGTAGGCCTAAGCCTCGTACAATTTTTCTTTTTTTCTTTTGGTTGGGTTCATAGATTTATCGCTTTTCGTAGACATCTCTGCCCACGTGTCCTCCTCTGCAATGGAAATGCAATGCAGTGAAACACAGAAGCAAGGAAGAACAACTTGTAAGCAAACACATTTGTTCAAAAGGTGGGAGCTGAGCTGCGTTTGCTTGAAATTTTCGTTTTAATCGATGGTTTCCGCTCGAAGTTGTTATGTTCTGGGTTAATTCCCAGCTCTGGATGGTGGTCCTCCATTAGGATGCCGTCTCATCATCTGAGCTCCTCTCGTGGTCCTGCCGCTAATCATCCAGCCTTTTCTTTGTCAGCGGTCCCAAGAATTACGAGGAATTTGACAAGCACTCTTTTCTGGATCGCAGTTGGCATCATTGCAAGGTAGTAATCATTTTTTTCTAGTCAGCTAGTGGCTCTCACTTGGAACTTGGTTTCTCGCAGTAGCAGGACAGAATCATATGGATTCTCAAGCCGATATGAAGAGCAGGAGCTCAGGATCACTTCTGGACGACAGTGTGTGGTCGCAGCTCCCTGAAGACATGACTCGCATAATTCTCGCGAGGCTACCACTTCCGAATTTACTCCAGGTTCGTACCGTCTGCAAGAAGTGGGAAGCTACAATTCGATCACCTCCTTTCCTCAAGCTGTGCTCGGATCTTCCGTTCCGCGCACCGTGGTACTTGGGATTCCACGGCTTCAGGCACGAGCAGGGGTGGGCTTTCGATCCTAGCTCCAGCAGATGGTACACTCTCGACTTTACTTTCCTTCCACCTGGGCGCTGCGCTGCTGCCGCTGGAGGCTTGCTGTGCTTCTGCCAGGACAGCGTCCAGGCCAACTCTCTCTACGTTTGCAACCCGATCACCAAGGTGTGGAGAGCTCTTCCTCGCTTCCCAGGCAGCATCAAACAGGTGGCTATGCGTGTCGACAAGGCCGAGGATACGTACCTGGTGATAGCCTTCGTCCAGGACGACGTGAAGTGTGGAGCTCTCTTGTACCGCAAAGGCGACGATTCCTGGCGAGAAGCAGCAGCTATGGCTTCTCACCCGCAGCTACTAAACATCGTCGATGCGGCCTTCAGCGGGGGTGTTCTCTACTGCCTCAACAAGTGCGTGACTCGCGACTGGCAGTATATCAAGTGCTACCACTTCGAACAGGATGAGTGGAGCGACCTTGGTATTCCCATGCCGAGCGCGTTCCGAGGCCAGGATCTCGTGCAAATGCCTTACCTGGTTGATCATGGAGGAAAGCTGCTCCTGGTGGAGAAGATCATTTCAAGCTTCGCAGACAACTCCACCACCTTGGCTGCTGCCGCTGCTCCAAGTCTCGTGGACAAGGCTTTAAAGCCGGCTATTAAAGCGAGCGTCGGGATTCACGAGTTGGATCTGGGAGCTCGAGAGTGGAAGAATGTGGCCGGGACTCTGGAGCATACGACTCTGTTCGTGGGATCCTTCACGTCCAGGGCGGTCTACTGTGCAGGTAGTCAGAAGCTGGTTTATTTCACTAACCACGGCTCTGTAGTGAGCGTGTACGACGCCATTCAAGACTCCTGGCACCGGCTTCCAGAGTTCCCCCGCCAGAGAATGATGTCGAACTGGATTTTCGGGAAGCCCAAGCGGAACCTCGGCGTCGTGATCCCGCTCAAGGGGCTCTGGTTTGACCCTCGGCTGGATTCTACCGTATAGCCCTTCTCGACTTGTAAGTCTTCCATGGCTCTCATGGCTTTATGATGTTTAACGTGTGGTTTCGTCAGGGAAAGTGTTCCACATCGACTAGTATGTTTAAACTATTCCTTTCGAAGTTCTATAGAAGTTTCATTGTTTCCATGTTCGAGCTCCAAACTATACAAAGAAAAGCCAGTTTAGACTATTCCTTTCGAAGTTCTATAGTTCTCATGAAGTTTCATTGTTTCTTTCAGGAAACCCTGGTATATATTCGAGCTCGAAACTATAGAAACGAAGAAAAGCCGGCTAGAGGATCTTGTTTCAACTCGGCACAGCCATCGCATTGGCCGAAAGCAGGATGACGCAGATAAGATAAAGAATCAGCGCACGCTGGGATCTCGCTCGAAGTTGACGCGATTCCGATGGACACTCGACACACACACTGCACAGAAACCAGACGAAGAAAAGAATGACAAGCACCGACGCTGCGCTTCTTTTCCATTTTTCTTTCGTGGGATGGATGGATCGCTCAATCAGCAGCAGGGGCAGGACCACCGAAATCAACAAAGCACATACCACCAACCAGGCCTCGCTTTCTTCCCACAGGACCCCAAAATCTTCTTTTTCTCTTGTGTAAGTGTTCTTTGTCGTCCATTCTATCATTTAAAAACTTTGCTCCTTGCAGAACAGCGACGGTGGCGGTGCTGTTGCGACGGTGCTCGTTCCAGAATAGCGATCGATCAAAAAACTAAGCGAAGAAAACGCCAGATGAATCAAGACAAGCCACAAGCTTTCAAGCCACGAGCTTTCAATGGTAAAGTGGAAGAGAGAATCCAGTTTTAACAGCGAGCGAGGGAGCGAGGGAGCGAGGCAGCGAGAGGGAGCGAGCACCCTCCAAATGTGAAGCAGACAGGCATCCAGCCATGAAAGCTTTAAATTCCTTGCCTATGGTATTGACCAGCTTTTTTGTTTTCCTTCCAGGACGAAAGAATCTCACAAACAAAAGGGTCCCAGATAGCTGTACCAACAAAGCAAGCAAGAGACGCTTGGATGGAAGTAAGCTTTCTCTTTTATTTCTCTCTCGCGCTTTGCCTGTAAAGTACACACTTAGAACGAATGCCAGGGACAAAAACTAAGCGCCGAACGAAGAACAAGGATGAAGAAGGCTAAAAAATCGTTTCTTTTCCATCGTTTGGGAGAGAGATTAAACACGAGAGAGGATGATAGAACGCACTGCCGTGATCATTCCAATCACTTGGGCGCTCCAACAAAAGCGGAGCACTCCAGAGTGGCAGTAGCAGCAGCAGCAGCAGCAGCAGTACAAGACAGGCACGCCTACTAGAAAGTGAAAAAAAAAAAAAAGAAAACCACAGAGAGAGAGAGAGAGAGAGAGAAAGAAGAAGACGTACACGAGCTTGGACGAGAAAATCCATGGCGGTCTCCGTGAATCCCGACTGCTACGCCTCCACACCCCAGTCTCTTCCCAGTCCATTCGTGAAAGCCGCCAAGCTTCTCACATGCCCTGCATGGCTGCCTTGAAAGTTCCAAGCTGTGTTCTTCCTAAACTCGACTCGCTGCCAAGCCAGCCAAGAGATCGCTGCTCCATCGCCACTGCTTCACTGCCTCACTGCCTCGTCGATAAGTACCGCTTGATCGTCCCTGTTCCTTTTCACGAGAAGAGGAGGAGAAGAAAAGCTTCTTAATCCTTCCTTCTCCTGTCCAAGCCCAGAGATCTTCCAGTTTATTTAGTGCCTGGCTTTCTCGCTTTCCCTGCCCACTTTCCGGAAGATAATCCAACCTCCCACCACCCTGTCTGCTGCTGCTGCTCCTCCTGCTTGTCGACCGTCCAAATCACAAGTCGCCACCCATGTTTGACGCGTCTCCTATATAATCTTTCCCACCACCTGTATCCTAGCCTTTCTCCTCCCATTTATTTACATGCCTCCAGCATGAACCCGACCGAGGCGACGCTCGCAGCTGCGTGTAGAAGAAGAGTTTTTTCCACCCATCCATCCCCGTATGATCAATCACATTACTGTAAGATCGATCGATCACATTACTGTAAGATCGACCTTCTGCTACTCCTGGACGTAAAAGAGACACCACCACCATCGTCAGTGGCCGGAGGAACACGATCACCTGGCGTCCGAGGACGTGAACGAGTCCGCGAAGCCGACGGGCCTGGTCGGGATGCTGGCCTGGCTATCGTCCAAGTTGGAGTCGTCCGAGGCCTGCCACTGCTTGAGCGCTTGCGGGAGCGACACGTTGAGATCGATCCCTTTGGTCTCCTCCCCGTCCGACGCCGTCGGCTTCCACTGCTCCACCAGCGGCGCCAGCACGCTCACCGCATGCCCCATGTCCGGCCGGTTGTACGGCTCCCTCGCCGTGCAGTGCTTGGCGAGCTCGGCCACCGTGTAAATGCCCTCCACTTTGTCCTCGGTGCCTTCTAGCAGCGCTGGATCTATCATCCTCGCGAAGGATTCTCTGCCCTGGTGCGTACGCCGGAACCACGTCACAAGGTGCATGTTCTCCTCGGATTGGCTCTCGTCCAGCGCTCGCCGCCCCGTGATCAGCTCCATGAGGACAACTCCAAAGCTGAACACGTCCGCCTTGGTTGTAACTCTCCCCGTCACTGTCAAACACACACACCACCATAAGTCTTTGAGGAAACATGCGAACCAGAGAAAAGGAGGAAAAAAAAAACTCATTTACCTGCGTACTCTGGAGCCAAGTACCCAAACGTGCCCGCCAGCCTTGTCTCGATCGAGTATTTGCCTTCGGGAGCAAGCTTCACCAGTCCAAAGTCTGACACCTTGGCACGATAATCATCGTCGAGTAAGATATTGGACGGCTTCAGGTCCCTGTGGATGAAGCTCCTGTGTGCCAGCTCGTGCAAATACTCCATCCCCCTCGCCACGTCCAGCGCTATCACCAGCCTCCTCTTCCAGTCCAGCGGTTTAGCTCCCCGCTCAAACAGGTGCTGCGCGAGCGTCCCGTTCGGCAAGTACTCGTACACCAGCAGCTTCTCATTCCCCTCGATGCAGTAGCCGAGCAGCGCCACCAAATGCCGGTGCCTCACTTTGGTCAGCACCGCGATCTCCGCGTGGAACTCGCTCAGCCCCTTGCTGCTCACCACCGTGGAGGCCTCCATCCTCTTCACCGCGATGCTGGTGCCATCGTCCAGCACCCCCTTGTAAACAACACCGAACCCCCCACGGCCGAGGATCGTGTCCCGGCTGAAGTTCTTCGTGGCGTCACGTAGGACTTGGATGGAGATCACTAGATTTCCTGCCTCCACCACATGAACGTCACCACTGGGCCCGCTGTGGTTTCCTCCACCATTCGGCTCCGCTGTCCTTGTGACACTGACCTTCACCATATCTGGATCAGAATTGGAGTTCCGGGGATGAACCAGCATCCCACTACTGGAGCTCCTCGAGGCCTGATGCTTCCCCTTGTGTCTACAGCAGAGGAAGAATATAAAAACTCCCGCCACCAGCGCCAGCGACACGACCCCAGCAATAGGAACAGCCACCCCCACTATGGGGAACTTGGAAGATGCTTGAGGGCTGTTAGGCCTAGTGCGATTCCCACTGTCATCTTGCGTACCCGGAGGTGGAGGCGTTCCAGGCGGTGATGGTGGCGATGGTGTTGTGGCCGGTGCCGATCCAGCCGGAGCAGCTGGAGCAGCTGGAGACGAGGATGGAGGAACTGGAGCCGATCCAGGAGGACTGTTGAGCAGAGGATTCCCATCCACGAGCACTGTCACCCCGGAGAACTTCACCATCGGGCCGGACAAGCTGTTGTTCCTCAAATCCAGCGTCTTCAAAGACTTCATCGTTGCAAACTCCGGAGGGATGGAACCCGAGAGGTTGTTGTTGCTGAGCATCACAAACCTGAGATCCGCCAGCCCCGCCACCGCGGGAGACAGCGTCCCAGCGAGCTGGTTCCTCTCGAGCTTCAACCCGATCACCGCAGTCCTATCGCACACCACCCAGGTCACGGCGCAGGGATCCGTCCCCGACCAGTCCGCGATGATCGAGTCTGGAAAACCAATGCCACCTAGAAATCCCAGCAGCGCGGTCACCTCGGCGCTACACGCCTTCCCAGCCTCGCTCTGGCAGAACTTGTTGCCACCGAAACCATCCGTGTTGGTGGCCCTGAGCAGTGGGATCGGCCCCATGAGATTGTTGTTGGTCACGCTGAAATGCGAGAGTGGCAGCGCTGTGAAATTCGGCACCACCCCCTTGAGCTTGTTGTCGTTGAGCCGGAGATCCGCCATAGCCACCGCGTTGCTCAGACCCACCGGGATCGTCCCAGTGAATTGGTTCCCTTGTAGCCACAGCTGCGCGAGGCTCGTCATCCCTCCAACCACGTCGATCGATCCGCCCAGCGCCATGTTGTTCACTTCCAGCTGCGTCATCGCCGAGTCCTTGAAGCTCGCGGGAAGCCCACCGGTGAGGGAGTTATACGCGAGATTGAGGACCTTGAGGCTGGCCATGGTGCCCAGGAACTCCGGGATCGGCCCGCCCAGGCTGGTGTTCGTCAGCGACAGATTGACGAGCTTGGTGGAGAATTGGACGTCGTCGGGGAGCTGCCATCCCGCGGTGCCATTGAGATTGTTGTGATCGAGGTAGATGACCATGAGGCTGTCGAGGCCACGGAAGAAATCTCCTGGGATGGTCGCGAAGTTGTTGCTGTTGAGGTAGACCGTGCGGAGATTCTTGAGGCCGCTGAGGCTGGGCAGCGCGCCGTGGAATCCATTGAACTGGAGGCCGAGGTACTCGAGATTGGCGAGCTTGTTGAGATTTCCGGGGAGAGTCCCGACCAGCCCCAGGGATTCCACCGCAATTCCGATGATAGACTGGCCCCGGCATTGGATGTGCTTCCACGAGCACGGATCGCCGCTCCCCCAGCCGAGCAATGCCCCGTTGGTCAATCCCTGGATCATCGCATCAAGAACCGCCCTCTCGGTCGGATCGACAGCCGCGGCGGCACCGGCGATGACCACGACGCCAAGAACGATCCATCGGCCGATCCCGATGCTCATGGCTGTGAGAATTCCCAGCGCCGGCGATCCGCAAGACGAGGAGCCCGCATTCTTGCCCCTCATCCAAGAATCGAGCAGAACCTGGACGAGCCGCGCGCACAGATCTTGGTGCCCCGGCAGCGCCACACCCGAGCCCTGGCGCCGCGCATCTCCCGTGGATCGCAGCTCCGGATTCTCATGCCCTAGCTTCCCTTCCAATTTTTCTTCCTCCCAAAAAGAATGGCCTGTCCCAGGACAAATTTCTTTCGCCTGGAACCCTCTGTTTGGCTCGGTTTGAGCAAACAGAGCATAAAAGAAGATTCCGTCATCAGCTTCGGCGACTTGCCGAGCCTGGGACGTGCCGCCACGTCGCCCAGGCCTGGAACACGCCTTGTAACCTTTGGTCGATTAAAACGTTGATATGGTTTTACTCGATAATGATCGTCCCTCTTGCGAATAAAATGGCATCATTCATTTTTGTTGTCCAACGAACTTAACGACGAAACAAACTTGGCGAGACTTTGTCACTCTGATTTGATCAATCCTTGGCTTTTAACTTTAAGCGTCCCTGGATTTGAGAAACAAAAGAAATCACTCGAATCACTGTTGCTAGACTTGACACAAAGAGGTAGACAAAAAGGAAGAACTGCAATAGCCTACCTCTACCACTTTGGTTTGAAATCATGGATCGCCCAACCCAGAGATTCGTGGCCAGCCAAAAACTGTTTCTTCAAGCAAAAGCTGCGAGACTATCTTCCATGTTTAAGATCCATTTCTTTCCTGCGCAGAGAACCACTAGTAAGATTTTCTCTTTTGCTTGCTTCTTCCATACTTTTTCCATACCCCCAATGCCGTGAAAACTCTTCCTTCGTCACCAGGCATTAAAACTCGCGCTGGATGGCTCGCTGGCTGCGGCTTTTTATCTTCACTCCACTCCACAAGTAAGAAACTTTTCTCGTGGAGAGGAATCGATAGCTATGCGACGAGAAGAACTGTCTAGCCTGCAAGGACGCACAATGAGTCATCGTAAGGCACCAACGGA